TATATATACACAATGGAATATTATTCAGCCTGAAAAGAGAATAAAATTATGGTATTTGCAGGTAAATGGATGAAGTCGGAAATTATCATACTAAGTGAAGTAAGCCAATCCCAAAAAGCCAAAGGACAAATGTTCTCTCTGAAAAGTAGATGCTGATCCATAATGGGAGTGGGGGATGGGGAGAATGGAGGAACTTTGATTGGGCCAAGGGGAGGAAGGAAACAGGAAGGAGTATGGGGGAAAGATGGTGGAATGAGACATTACATCATTACCATAGGTATGTGAATGACTGCACATGTGGTGCGACTCTACATTGTGTACAACCAGAGAAATGAAAAATTGTGCACCAATTTGTGTACAATGAATTGAAAAGCTTTCTGCTGTCATGTATGACTGATGAGAAGTAATAAAAAGTAAATTTTTTAAAAATGTAGATTTCTATCATATTGAGACGGGGACAAAAAGACAGAGCAGGTAGGTCTTAAGTAAGAGCTGGTTCTAAAGGAGGAAATAAAATGCTAATATCTCTAGGACACTTGCCCCTCCTCTCCTGCCAAAGCTACCTGCCTCCAGAGTATTATTTCTCCCTGCAAGGAGTTGTAGGGGTAGTTGATGAAATACCTCCTGAGAGGCTCCTTTCCTGCCCATTTGGGCAGACACTGGAGAGGAACCCCTGGAAGGCTTTTTCCCCACCATTTGGTCACTAAGATAAGGGAAGCAGGAGGGCATGAGAACCAGGGAACTATAAAATGTATAAAAGGGGCAGGACAGTCCCATTTCCTCAGATACCCAGCTTTGGGCCCCCTTATCTTCAGAGAAGTCTCTCTCTCTTCTATCCTTTAAATAAAACTTGCTTTCTACTCTTACCTCGGCATTTCTTCCATGTTCAATATTCAACATCTGGGGAAATGGAACTCAGCCCTGATTGAGTCTCATCACCAGCATTTCCACTCCTTGCTCTTAAAATCAGCATACTATAGAGATATATGTATACTGATGGTTACAGCAGTCCAATTCACAGCTAGGTGTCCATCAACAGATGAATGGATAGAGAAAATGTGATATATATATATATACATAATGGAGTTTTTCTAAGTCATTAAGAATAAAATTATGTCATTTGCTGGCAAATAGATAAAAACTCTGTGAAATAAGCCAGACTTAGAAAATCAAAGGTCAACTGTTTTCTCTTATACGCAGAAGCGAGCGAGCGAGCGAGAGAGAGAGAGAGAGAGAGAGAGAGAGAACGCAATAAAAAGGAATCTCATAACAATAGAAGGGAGAAAGGTAGAATGGAGGAAAGGGATTGAGGGGTAAGAAGGAGGGAAGGGAAAGGAGAAGTACTGGGGAATGAAATTGGGCAAATTATGCAATGTGCGTGTACAAATACATCACAACAAACCCCACTTTTATGTATGATTATAATGCACCAATAAAAAAGAATAGAAGGGAGACCAGTAGAATCAAGGAAGGAAATCAGGTGGAGGGAAAGGGGGAGGGAAAGGAGAAGCATTGGGGAATGAAATTGATCCAATTATGTGCCATGTATGAATATGTCACAATGAATCCCACTGTTATATATAATTTTGATGGACCAATAAAAACATAATAATATAAATAACAAATATTTAAAATATCTATAAGGTTAAATTGCAATGTGATATGCTTTTATTTTCTTGAATTAATTTATTGGGTATCTGTGTCTATTTTTTTATCCAGACATAATTGATATACCATAAAATTCTCCATTTTAAAGTAGAAAAATGGATCTTTTGTTGACAGAAAAAAAAATGTAGGTTCCTAGATCCTACTTCAGAGACTGTGATTCAGTTCATTGGACTGGGAATTTTGAAATCTATATCTTAGACCTTTCTCCTGGGCAGTCTTCTCGACAGTCTGAGAACAACTTCTCTAAGTCTGGGAACTTTTGTTTATTCAGCATATTTACCCATCATTAAACCTAAGAGATCTTTTACTTTTTTCTTTAAGGAAGTATATATATGTATATATAGTTTCTTGGCATTTTTGGTGTTTATTTTTAGATCTGTCCAGTCTTTCTCACGAGTGGACTTTGTCATCAAAGTAGAAATATTCCTTCATGCAAGTTTTGCCTTCACTTTTCTAGGTGAAGAGACAAATTGGCAAGTCTGCTCAACCCATATGTGACCTCAAACTCAGGGGTAAGCCAGCACGGCTTTGCTTCCTGTATAACTATACTTGAGAGAGGAGAAAGCCTCACTACTGGGGGCAGTGGAGGCCCTGCCTGTCTTTTGAGTGCCCAGGATTTCTATATCTCAAAATCCATGTGACACTTTGGGAGGGCTAGAAATCTCTAGAGCAAAATTAATTTTTTTAGCTATTTAAATTTAAAGCAAGGAAATGCTATCAAACACTTTCA